ATTGTATAAGAATGTTTTTTAATGTAAAAGAGTAAAAAAAAAGCCACTTGTACTGTTTGTCTTTTATAATCAGTCTTTTAACTTAAAAAGTGTAAATGGTAGTGCTACATACCATAAAGAATAATACAAGCAGAGACAGAGACATATACAAGGGAGCTGCATATAAGATGAAACCAGAGGATTAATAGTAAAGCAGAATGCCTAGGTCACAATGAAATGTTCCCATCAATTAAGTGTGTGACAGTATCTTCTCTTGGATTAACTCGTATGTCAAGTAGATGGGCAGGACCTTGTGTAGATACTTTTGAGAAATCAGCAAATGTTTAATCTGTTGATGTGCAGCTTGTCATACATTATGCAGGAAGCACTCAGCCAAAACTGTCCTGCCAGCTGGGCATCTGTCACTCTTGTGGTAAAAAGATACAATGCAGCAATTCAGCTGTTGTAAAGTGTTATGGGAATTTTTCTTGGCGCTGTAAACGTGAGCCTCTTCCTTTAAATGTTCACGGTTGGCAGTGTTCCTGTTGTTTATGGTGTCTGAATCAATAAAAATGAAACCCATGAACTTTTTTTTTAATCGCATTAGTGTGTATACCATTATTAGAGCCTAAACCTGAACATTGAAAGTAGGTCAGCTATGCCAAACATGTGCCACCAATATGTGCTAACCATACAGCTAATGTGTACGCATTAATTGCAGGGAGCTGGTCATATAGGTGTCCTTGCAGGGTGGTAAGTGAATACTTCTGGCAGTTGGAAGCACTCATTACTTCACACTGGTAACATTGAAGAAAGGGAAAAAATATCAGAAATTGGAGAAAATATTGTGGCAATAGTCGCAAAAAGATGGTCGGTGGACAAATCCACCAATACAGGACTAAATATGGAGGATGCAGTACGTGCTGGGTTGCTTTGTGAATAATGAAAGCCATCCCGCCCAGGCACCTTCTGTCCTTAATTTTGCCCTCTCTCACCCAAATCTTAGAGATCTGTTGCATACATCCTGCTGGCCCCATGGATTCAGTGTACAAGCAGGCTACATACAGAGGGAAAAAAACACTTCTGCTTGAGGGTCTTTGAGCGTTAGCCATTAGGACTCTAACCAGGAATTTTGGTAGCTGTAAAGTTGCATCAGTTGGAAAAGTGTTGCATCCTTTTGTATATGTTAAAAAAAGGTCATAAATCATTTGGAGCCACATTATTTTTATGTTGCCTTGGATCTGAGATCAGATTGTTTAAGTTGTCACGTATTTTATTTTTTCTTAAATATTTCATGTTTTTTTTTCCAGGCACTGGGAAGCTTTTACTTTCTTCATGAGTCATTAAAGAACGTATATCAGTACGACTTTAAAGGTAAGAATCTTGATTCTTGTTTTCCTACTGTTAATTGATAGCTCCAGTGAATCAAGTTCCTTCTTAGCAACAGCTTAAAATTTCTGCTGATATTTTGTAACCAAAAAAAAAAAAATCAACCAGTTCATAAGTGTTTTACGCTCTGGCGTGCTTTCTGGCTTTGTCAGAGGTGTCTTGAAATTTTCACAGTGCCATGCATTTTCATGGTGCAGGCAAGTTGGCCAGCAGCGACCATGGAAATGCAGGACACTAATGCATCCATGACCACCCCCAAGCAGACAGAAGTCCGCCAAGACCTGATTCACCTCCCACACTCTGCCATGCTACCACAGCCACATTGTGCTAAATATTATAAGATGGGATTCTGATGTGAAAGGGGAGGACTCTGATGGGAAGAGGAGGCTTTGGATGTGAAGGGAAGAACTCCATGACATATTTTTGGTTGGGTTTGCAGACGCCTATCTAGGATAATTAACTAGTCTACATTTTGCGGGGAACCACATGCAGTGACTGAAAAAGGTTAGTTTGTGTTCTAGATCACAGAATGATCTTGAGTGCAAATATTAATGCTTCTTAAAAGTTTTAAGAGCTGTAGTGGTAGGCCAGTAAGGCTTTGGAACATAGCGATAGTCCAGCAGGAAGGAGTAAACACTTCCATAAGCACAATTTCACACCAATGCCAGAAACCCATATTCAAGCCACGCAAGTTTCCCTCTCAAGCATCTTATGAAGGCAACACTGCTTCAGTCAGGGAGACCAAACTATCTGTACAAAACACAAACCAACAAGGCCCCTTCCCTAGTGCAGATAAAACTTTTATTGACACCGAGTGCAAAAACAATCATGTAATACTCACAAGCAACATAAGTGTTCAGAAATGGGGGTATCCTGGAGGCTCCACTAGATTTTCGAATGTATTCGCAGGCATTTTAGTCCTGGTACCAGTTTAAACACTTTGAAGGGGATTTATCAAATCTGGAGCAGACAAAATCTGGAGCAGCTGTGCATGGCAATCAACTTCTCTCTTTCATTTTCAAATCTTAACTGAACAGATGGAAGAGAGAAGCTGATTGGTTGCCATAGGCAACTACTCCAATGTATTACTGAGAGGTGCATCGTAAAATGTTTGGTGAGGCTTCATAAAGAGCTTGAACCTAGAACATATCTGTGTATGATATTTTAAAAGACCATCGGCAGAAATTGTAATCTGTGACAAGTGCACTTTATAGACTGAACTAAAGGCAAAGAGCCACAAGTAAATTGTTGTATCTTGCAATTGTTTCATTTTTTTTGCAAATCTTATGATTTTGTCAGTATTGTGATGTTTGTCAGCATTGTCAGGGTAACTGATGGTATTTTAGAAAGTAATTATTAGACACACTGGGGGGAATTTATCAAAACTGGAGCAGATGCCTATGGCAACCAATCAGCTTCTCTCGTCAGTTAAGCTTTGAAAATGAAAGGTGGATGCTGATTTATTGCCATGCACAGCTGCTTCAGATTTTGTCTGCGCCAGTTTTGATAAATTCCCCTAATTTTGAACAAAAGGGTAACTACAAATTTAGAATTTAAAATCCAAATTAAAGTCTCACACTTTCTTTTTTATCCTTTATAGACCTGTACTTCTACATATTATTATTTGTGGCTCAGTGTAGCTTGGTAAAAACCTTGAAATACCTAAATACTTTTTTTCACTCTGTCCCCTACAACTCCAGTGATCTATGCGAGCATAGCTGAGAAACACCCACACTCTTAATCACAAGTGTCCTCACACTTGTATTGCAAAAGAAGCGATTCGGTGTGTCAGATCAGGTCTGTTACTGAGTGCTAATTACCAAAAGCACTGGGTCTAAAGGCGCCCATACACTTTACAACCCTCGCAAGACTTTTGTCTTGCGAGGGTTGTAAAGTACTTAAAAAACGTACAATCTGCCCATCTTGGACAGGCAGATCGTACTTGCAATCATCGCAAGCCCGCCCCCCTGAGGGGCGGGCTTGCGATGACTGCAATGAGGGGCGGGCTTGCGATGACTGCAAACGGGCAATTGTCGAACAAGCAGGCAACTTACTAAGACGTGCGACCGTACAGTAGAAACAGTCGCACGCCTTCCATGCACTGCACGATTCTCGTACGATCGCGGGATTTCCCACGATTCTCGTACGAGAATCGTGCAGTGTATGGGCACCTTAACTATGGTGCATGTTGTACTGCAGTCCAATATTTAGACAACTGCTGTAACCGAAAAGTTATAGCGATAAACCTGAAAATAGAGCTTGTTAGTGCAATGTCTATCTGACTGCTAATCATCTTCTGTACCTTTTAGTTGAACTTGAGGTGTTGGTATCCAAAAGATGGCTCTCCTGCACTTAAGTTGTTAGGTTTTCACCAGCTTAAAGAGCAGCATATAGAACAGCTTCAAACACATTACTTAATTCCTGGCAGGTTACATCTATGCATGTTTAAAGGTAATATGTAGACTGTCAATGCTGACCGCCATCTGAAAATGCTGTTGTCAGGCCATCTCTGATTTGGTTCTCTACTGAAGTCTTGGCGTTTTATCTACATAATTGTTCCAACCAATTACTCGTCACTGGATTAGTAAGTCAGCCTGGCAACTAGCATTTTCAAAAGGAAAGGCCCGCACCAGTCCCCTTACTGTCTCTCTCACCGAGTCCCAGGTCACACTTGCTGTGGAGGTGAACATGCAGCAAAGCACCCCAAACACGACACATGATCACTAAAGGTGCACCGAAACGAAAATTTCAAAACCCAAACGAAACCGAAATGAATAAAAATGTTAGGCCGAAACAAAAAATGTTTTTTATTCTAACTTTTTGGGAAAAAAATTTGAACATCTTATTTTAAATTTTTTTAGAAACTTTTGAATGTTGTACATATTTTATTAATTTTTTTTTTAAATATTTTAATTTTTTACTTCATTTTTAGGGGCTTCGGGGTAATATTGGGGTTCTAAATAGACCTTTTGATATTTCCCTTTTAAAATAGAAAAAGAGATTGAGGACACTGTGTCATTCATAACTTGGAGATTGTATGTTTGCTATAACCACAATCATGAATGAACAGGCGGTGATGTAGAGCACTTCCCATTCATTCATAATTGAGGATATAGTAAGCATACTATGTCCTCAATTAACTACAAACACTCAGCGATCACTGAGTGTTTGTACCCGCTCTCCTTCCTGACAGTTGTCATAGGAAGCTGGGCGGTGCGGGAGGAGAGCTCAGCCTCGTGACAGCGCTAGCTGTCTCCGCCCACACCTCTCTCCTGATCTGTGACAGGAGGCTGAGCGATGCGGGGAGGAGACACCGGCCGCTCACAGCGCTCTCCTCTCGCAGCGCTCGGCCGTCTGTGACAGTTTCTCTCCTCTCGGCTGGGACACAGAGCGGCGCCCAGGGGGAGGAGAGAAAGCAGGGATGCGCCACTATATCGGCCAGAAAAAGGCACTTTAGGCATTTTGCCAAAAGTGTCATTTTCGGCCGATATATCGGTGCATCCCTAGTGGTCACACAGGCCGCACTTGTGAACAGGGGCTAAAGTTTTATTTTCCTTCCTGATCCATGTAAGGGCATCTTCTGTTTCAGTTTGGTTTTTCTGCAGTCCCTGGGCAGAAAGAGGCTGACCATTTTTTATATAGAAAGATGGGATTGAGACATATTACACTCCTCATCGGTAATTCCCTGGAATAATGTCACTTACTTATAAAGCTCACACTGACATTTGTTCAAGATTACATAAAAAAAGAAAATTGGTTGTTTTCCAAATTAGTCGCCTACAATATTTATGGCTGGCTCATTTCTTTAACATGTCCCATTGTAAATGATCTGGCCAGACCACATTAATCGGCCCTTTACATCACATTAATTTGAAATGTCATGAAATGGCAATAACTGTGAAATGAACTAATTGGCTCCATTTATACGGTTTCATTAATGTATTTTTTTTCTTAGCCATGGAAAGCCAAATTACCTCTGTTCTTATAATTGAGGGTACAGGGTCTCACCACTCTTAAGATATTTGAGTGGCATTTCTGAGACATTGCAATCGTATGTTTTACTGACATCAATCACTTCTTTTTTCCCCCCCCCCTACCTGTACGAGAAGCCTCAGTCATCTGTAATGTTGAGTAAAAAAACATTTGTTAACAGTATTAAAAGGCCGTTAACATTTTATTGTATTTCTGGGTAAAAACTTTGATTTATTTTTACTCCAGCTGTCAGACTTTTACTGAAGAGCACCTGATCACATTGTCCCCCCTCTGACCTTTAAAGCCTAACTCCAGCCAAAACTTTTAAATTTGTTTTGGTTGGAGGCTTTATAAGGTTTTTATTGCCGTCTTTGTTTCTCTTGGGGATTAATACACTACTTCTGTCAGGACAGGAAGTGAAAGGGAAATCTCCCAACTTTCGGTAGAAAAGTTATTTATACACACACTGAGTGGCCAGATTATTATGACCACCTGACGTTTGTAGGCAAATTAGCTATAATTAGCTATGATTTCGCTCTGCAGTTGCTAGAGGGCCAGACCATTATAAATAGGGAAGCAGGTTGTCTGTTTACCACGACAGTAGAAGTGATATTTTTTTCTGAAGATATGGGTAAACAACGCGATAGGAATGCACCGATACCGGTATTTTGGTACCGGGTACCGATAAATTTTTTCGGTACTCGCCGTTGCCAACTGTGATATGCCATTGGCAGTTCACTAACTTTATATGACTTTAAGTGTGTTATTTCACAGAGCAGCTTGAAACCTCTTTTAAAGAAAATCTCTTGTAATAACTTTGCAGCACTGCTGTGATTCCGGCTGTGGAGATTTCACCACACCACAGCTTGTACTAGTTCTGAAAAATGTGTCTTGCAACTCTTGAAAAGTCAAAAGTGCATATAATTGTGTGTTTTTTGTTCCCTTTTAGCAAAAAAGTACAGAAAAGTTACAGGGAAAGAGATCTACTCAGACACATTAGAAAGCACCCCAATGCTGGAGAAAGAGAAATTTCCGCAAGAGTTCTTCCCGGAGGTATGAATATATTATGTGATACAATACCAGCTGTTATTTGCACCATTACATTGCTCTAAACTAGTTATTTAATAATAAAGTGCAATTCGCAGCAGCAAGTGAAATAAGTTAGCAAATGCTAAGGGAAATCACACCGGCAAAAGTATGTGTTTATAGATATTTTGCTTTTCAGTTTTGACCGTAACAGAACAATAAAGTTACACTTCAGGTAACCATGAACCTTTCTACTGGTAAATTGATTGAGCCATTAAATTTCCCCCATGGCATATATTATGTGGTGGTATATTGATCTTCTGAACTCCTGGAAATGGACCGTAAAAAAAAGTAGAATGGAGTGTTCTATTGTTGAAAGACCACTTCCTCCCAGAGCCCTTTGCAGTCTGACCAGGACTCATTAAAGTTTTCAAAGGATTGTTGCACAGTACAAAATCATGGAAATACAAGCTGCAGTCCCATCAAGCACTATTAAAAAAATGTTGCTTAAAGGAGAACTATGGGGTTAAGGCTTTTCCCCATAGTTCTCAGGGTAACGGGAGGACACAAACTAGCGTCCTCCCGTCACCCTAAGCTCAGTATACCGCGAGCTGCAGCTCGCGGTATACTGAGACGCCCAACAATTCAATGCCGGGATCCGCCCAGCTGCGTGATTAACAGCTGGCTCTGCCTATCTAGAGGCAGAGCCAGCTATACCTCCGATCCAGTCAGCGCTGGCGGATCGGAGGGGGGAATCCAGCCCTTCCCCTGTCACGGCAGAGAGCTGTGACAGGATCGAGAGGTGAGCGAACGCCGGTATGTGTTCACTCACCTCCCGATCTACTGAGCCGACCTGTGACAGTCTCATTGTCACAGGTCGGCTAGAACTATGAGGTGAGTAAAAAGCATTTACCTCATAGTTCTCCTTTTAATCTGTATGCAAGAAATTCTATTAAAGCAACTCCTCAGAAACCCATGGTCATGTAGGGTAAGGTTACAATTAGTCCCTATTTCCCAGGAACAGTCCCCATTTTGAGAAGTCGGTCCCCGGGGAAACAAACATCCCCAGTGGCAGTGAACTGCAGTAACATACAGCCAGTTTTGTGCATGCTGTGATGGCTGCGTAACTTCTGACCCCTGAACCCTACATCACTTTCTACCGACCCCTGAACCCTGCATTGCTACTGAGGTCTGAACTCTGTTACTTGCTATTGTCTAGAGCTGCAGCTAACGATTATTTTTAAAATCTATTAGTTAGCCGATTATTAAGTTCGATTAATCGGATAAAAAATCAAATACATTTTTAAAAATGGCTCCAGTAATGGACTACTAGTTTGTATTGAGAGTGTAGTCCATCACAGGAGCAAGCTTGGAGCGGTGGAAGTAAAAAAGAAAACAAAAGTGTGGTGTGTAATATAGTGAAATGAAAAGTATAAAATTATACAGCAATGCATGCAGAATGACACCGGCTATAGAGGACTACAAATCCCAGCAACAGTACATTATACAGCACAATGCAGAATACCACCAGCTATAGAGGAATACAACAAATCCCAGCAATAGTACATTATAGATGGTGGTATTTGGCATTGCACCACTGTATAATGTATTATTCCTGGGATTTGTAGTCCTCTATAGTTGGTGGTATTTTGCATTGCGCAGTATAATGCATTATTGCTGGGATTTGTAGTCCTCTATACAGCGCAATGCGGAATACCACCAGCTATAGAGTACAACAAATCCCAGCAATAGTACACTATACATACAGTGTATAATGTATTGCTGGGATTTGTATTCCTATGTATAATATACAGCACAATGAACCATCAGCTATAGAGGAATACAAATCCCAGCAATACATTATAGAGCACCATGTGTGGGAAAGTGCAGGCGTACCTCTGAGCAGTCTTCCAGCAACTTGCTTCTGAGATCGGACCTGTCCATCGGCGGCTGATACCCTGTTGCCCTTGCAGGGTCGTTTGGAGCTGTGTGAGTCTTCACAAACACATAGGCTAAGAAAGGCAATCCGCTCCCCTCCCACTTCTCTTAGCTACTAAATGGGCAGCTGCTGGAGACTTTGCTGTCCCTTGAGATCACGTACTGGACAGGAAGTTTGGGGAAGTTGCCCTTAGAGAGTTGGAAATATGGTGACTAAGTGCTTGGGAAAAAAATGTAAGACACTTTGCATGGTAATGTATATTTGACCTGGATTCATTATTGAACAAAAAGATTGAGAGTTTAATATTGCTTTAAATTTTAATATGTAGAAGTGTATTCTCTGCCGTTTGCACAGTTGCATTGTGTTTACCGGATTTAATTGTCAGGAAACTGCTTTACCTGGATTAGTGAATTATTTCATATTACATGGCAGGTACACTTTAATACTCTCTGCCCTCCATAACTTTTTTGCCAGCCCATATAATAATTAATGGACTGCCTTAGCACAGTGCGCCTTAAATGCACTGCAAAAGTGTTAATGGTCATTTAAAGCACTGTGATTTAGTTCATATTCAGATACATGCAGCTGATTGCTATAACTTTTTTTTTTTTTTTTTTAGTGAAGATGTTCTCTGTATATCTTTTGCTCAAAGTATTACTGTGCAATATTATCAGCATTAGGTCTTAAGTCAAGTATAATGTCTGGGGCAGTAAAGATTATCCTCCTTTTTGTCTTTTGCCTTTTTCATAGAGTTAATTTCCAGCTCAGTGTGGTGTCACTATCTGGTCTTCTCTTGATTTACTGCTGCTGTTTATTGAGACAAACAGAATTCATAATTGAAAGTTAATGGCTGCCATTGTGCCTTTTGTGAGGACATTCACACTCTCTGCATATATGATAATGGCCCCTCTCAGTTAACGAGCAACTACTGAACAGCCCCCAATTGTCTTATCTCCGCTGTCATAAACAGTGAGTTGTGACAGATTTCAAATATATGCAAAACATATCTTTTACTCGCCTTCCGAGCGATATCTCTCTTCCCTTTTTATGGCTGCCGTGTAGGGATTATCTTCAAGTAATTACTTTGATTGAGATATAATGTTATTCAAAATAATTACAAGCCACAGCATGGAAAATGAACAAAACTCTCTCTGTAAATTTATGAGGCCGCTTGGCAAGACATGAGCCAGGGAATAGGCCTTTGGGATCAGCACTTGAGATAATGTTCGCTCATTTTAAAAAAGCAGATTTGTGTAGTCTATCAGGGTTGAGTCATATCAAAATATATGTTTTCCTTAGCCATAGTGAGAAATCAGTTGTTATCATAGATCACGGATGCTGCTCCAAGCTCTTATGAAAGATGAATTAATTTCACTAATGCTTTAATGCAAACCTTTCATGGAGAAGGCTATGTGGCGATAACCTTACCGCAGCCTCTCCTTTCTTTGCCGTGATTTATGTCGTCTTTTAGCAGATGAAACTGCCTCTGTTCACAATCCGTCTGCTGCCTACAGGCATCATATTATTAAAGCCCAGCGAGACTCCACATTGTAAGGCGGTAGAGATATAAAAATATCCTTACCTTGAGTAGTGCATTTTGGGTATTGGGAGCATGTTTAATCCATATCCCTAGTCCCTAGTGCTATACTTGGCTGCCTTTCATGGCCAGTGTAGGAGATGAACAAACAAGTTGCACCTTATTGATCCAGATGTGAGTTAGGCAGCCGATTCTGCATTGGCTTGGACGTGTTGATTGGGTCAAAATGTTTATTCACCATCAATTTACCCGCTACAGCAAGAAAGTGAAATAGGTCATCAGTAGACAAGTACTGAGGGCTACAGATGTCAGTTTAAAGTGTAGTCCTGCTTTTGCAGTCAAATTTGAGAAAGCCCCACTATATGTCTTTGCTCTTATTCACACAGCAGATCTAAAAATATTTAATTTTTAACATTTTTTTTAACCTTTTTAGATGTTTCTATGGTAAAGGTGAAGCTACTCTAAGCAGTTTGAGAGTAAAACTATAGTGTCAGACTTGGCTTCCTCTCATGCTCATTGCCTGTAGTAACCAATCTGCTTATCTCCTCAGTTTGTTCCGTTAAGCTTTTAAAATAAAGAGAGAAGCTGATTGGTTGGCATGCAGATGAAAGCTGCCTTAATACACACAAATGCGTTTTAATATATATTTTGAACTAAGTATAGTTTCTTAAAGGTGTGTGTGTGTGTGTGTGTGTGTTAAAAATACACACACACACACACACACACACACACACACCCCCACACACACACACACACTTTTTTGTAAAAATACACACACACACACACACACACACACACACACACACACACACACACACACAACTGTGCTGTGTGTGAGGGGACAGGGGTCACATAGAAATGAGCTGTGTGTGTGAGGGAAAGGAGTCGCATAGGACTGTGCTATGTGTGAGGGGACAGGGTCACATAGGACTGTGCTGCATGTTAGGAGAAGGGGTCACATAGGACAGTGCTGTGTGTGAGGGGATGGAGTTCCATAAGACTCTGCTGTGTGTGAGGGGACGGGGGTCACATGCGACTGTGCTGTGGGGATGGGGTCACATGGGACTGTGCTGCGTGTAAGAGGACTAGGTCACATAGGCCTGTGCTGAGTGTGAGAGGACTAGGCCACATGGGACTGTGCTGCCTATGAGAGGACGGGGTCACAATGGACTGTGCCGTGTGTGAGGGGACGAGGATCGCATAGGACTGTGCCACATGTGAGGGGATGGGGTCACATAGGACTGTGCTGCGTGTGAGGGGGTGGGGGGTCCTGTGAATTTCCCATGAAGTGGCCATATTGGAAATTGTGTCTGTGCTAACAGACTGTTGACGAGAAACATAAATGGGAAGGTCAACATGCAAGGTATAAACCCCCTTCTGACTGTGAACATCTCTGAACTTTTTCTCCTATTTGACATTCTTACGAAGGAAACACACACACACTATATAAACCGATGACACGTTATTGTAACGCCTAACAATTTGGCTGAAGAACAAGTATCAGAAGTGACCACAAATCACTTTTAAATAATCTAAATTGCTTTCAAGAGT